CAGTGGCAAAAAGACCATCTTACCCTTTTTAAAATTTAAATAAACTTTATCACCACATCTTCTTCAATCCCACTACATCTTTACCTACCGTTCAACTCTGCATTAAATCACTAGTCATTGGCCATCACCACTAAATCACAACTGCTCATAAAAACTAGTTTTTATTTTTGTGATAAAAATTAAAAAATATAAAACATGTGTTGATAATTATTTATATTTAAAAAATTATAAAAAAATAAAAATAAAAAACATGTTTGGTATTTTATCCAAAATCAACCACCCAACACTACTTAGTCCCACCACCAACAACCACCTAACCTCACCACAAACCCCCCATATCGAAAATCCACCCTCACCAACAACAACCCAACACTATCGAAACCCCCACTCTCAAACCCCACGAAAAACCAATCCCAACACCCCTAGAACCCCCCACACCACACCCAAAACCCACCCCAAACACCCCTGAAACCCCCACCAAATCCCCGAAAATCCACTTCCAACACCCCTTAAAATCCATCCAACACCCCCTAAAAACTCACCCCAAACCCTCAAAAATTCACTTCCAACATCCCTGAAACCCACCCCCAACAGCCATTAAAAAAGCCCCCCACCAACAATTACAAGAACAATTACAAGAGAGAGAGGAGGAGGAGGAGGCGAGAGCTAGAGAGGCACAAAGATGAGAAAAGGGAAAAGTGAAATGAGAAATGAGGAAGAAAAGATCATTTTTGGTTTTCTCTGACGAGAAAGAGAGGGACATTTATATTATGTTTAGACTTTTAGATTATATGTAGACAAAGATAAAAAAAAATGTCTTTTTGAAAGATCATAGAGATATATTTGGACTTTTAGATTGAGCTTTGACTCTGACTTAAATTTTTTACATTCATACTTGCAAATCTAGCACGTGTGTTATAATTTATGTCACTTTTGACAGAAGTAATAATGATCGCACTTTAGTCCAAAAACAAAAAGGGCATATGTGCTAATTTTTGAACGACAAGGATGTGATGTGCAAAATGACTAAACCACAAGGGGGTAAACTAAATTTTGCCCCTTTTTTGACACATTTTTTCTGTTATGGTGTGTGAAACGAGAGTGGTTTGATGGTGGTGATGTATCGCATGTAAAGTTGGTGGTGTGTATATGATAGTGGTGTGGTAGCGGTGCTTGATGTGCAGTGTGTATAGTGTGCACTAACATTGGTGCATTAGTGGTGGTGCAATGGAGTTGTATTTTGTGAAGTGTGGTGGTGTTAATGAGTTGCCATTTGGGGTAGTGCCCATGGTAACTTTATAATGGTGGTGATAGTGGTGGTGTCAGTAATTGTGGAGTATGGACAACAATTATATTGGTTGTGTAATATAGTTTGAAGGTGTGATAGTCGAAGCGATGGTTATGCAATGTGCTTGAAAATGTGGTGGCAATGATGGTTGTGTTATTTTCGGATATTGAGAGTTGAATTGAAACTATAGGGCCTATTTGATTTGCGTTTCAAAAATTTGTATCCGAAAACAGTTTTTGAGAAGAATTTTAAGAAAATGGTTTTGATATTTTTTGAGATAAAAAACTTGTTTGGTTAGATGATTTCAAAAACAATTTTATAATACAGAAAATAGTAAAACCTGTTTGGACAGCCTAAATATATATTTGAACAATAATTCAAACATTAATAAAAAAAATATAAAAAAATTATTTTTAAATTGACAAATTCATAAAAAAAAATTCAATAAACCAAACTTTAAAATATATATATATTGTTTCTCTTGTTTTCTATTTGTTTGATTCAAATCTCATTTTTTTTCAAAATTTAGAGAATAAAAATGCTAAACAAATAAATTTTGAGTGTTTTTGAAATTTTGAGAACAAAAAACTGTTTCCGAAATGATAATCAAACATTGCCTATAGATTCTCGTATCAAGATTGTGTTTTCGTTCGCTGTGTGATTTGAGTTTGAATGATGTGTTTCGTAAGGATTTTTTGGTTATGGAGCCAGTAATGGATGCGGAGTTGGTTAAGCCAACAAAACAAATAAAAAAAAAACATATTTTGGAGGCAATAGAGGGTATTTTGGTGTTTTTTGATGTTCATCACAAAAACCTAGAAAAGTTTAACGGAGTATTATGTATTTGAGTCCAAATTTAGCTGTGTTTTGTGTAATTTACTCTTATTTAATGGCATAATATATTTTATGGGCACAATATATAGATTCCCAACTAAAAAATATATATATGTATAGTTGTTATGCATTATTATTCAAAATGGGGTCACCACAAAAAGATTAGACAATTTGCTCTAATTTATTGTTTTAATGTGAAAATTATTCACTGTCTCCTACAAATTTTTGGTTGGGAAAATAAAAAACTGATATATGCAATTTTATTATTACGGTAAAAATAATATTTGATCCCTGAATTTTATCTTTTGTTTCAATTTGGTCCGTGAACTTTCAATGGTCCTAATTTAGTCATTCAACTATTAATTAATTTCGTTTTAATTAAGTCATTCAATCAATTTTTATTGTTAGATCAAGTGGAGACNACTGATATATGCAATTTTATTATTACGGTAAAAATAATATTTGATCCCCGAATTTTATCTTTTGTTTCAATTTGGTCCGTGAACTTTCAATGGTCCTAATTTAGTCATTCAACTATCAATTTCGTTTTAATTAAGTCATTCAATCAATTTTTATTGTTAGATCAAGTGGAGACTATCTCAATCTAATCCATTACAACATTGATTTAATGATGAAAATAGATGAAATGACTTAATTGAGATTAAATCTAATAATTAAAAGATGAAATTAAGATAATTAAAAGTTCAAGGAACAAATTAAAAATGAAAATAAATTCACGGATCAACTATAATTTTTATCCTTATTAAGTTTGATTCACCTTTATAGACTCTTTATGTGTAGAGTAACAAAGAGTCCATCTAATCGCCTCCATAGATTTACAAAGGGAGAAATTTTGTGTAGACTGTTAGCAATACAACCAACGTTATTAAATAATCTAGTAACTCGAGCTCGGATCAATTTTGGCTCATTCAAGTTATAACACAAACTAAACTTGATCTAATTTATTAGCTTATTTTATAAATGAACCGAACTCAAACAACGTGGGGACTTTCACTAAAATAGGCTCGCCGTAACTTTGAATGGATCTCTTTTTATTCGTTGTTTTTGGGTCTTGTTTTCAAAACAATTTATTTTATATAAAATAAAAACACAAATTCAAACACGTTTTTCGTTTTTATTTTTCCAAAAAAGTGAAAATAAAAAAATTAAACACGAAATAAAAACGTGAACCAAACACCTAAATAACTCTAAATTTTGTCCCAAATAGCTACAAGATCACATGGATTTCACTCTTCCTCTCTCCCCCAATAGACTTTTGATAAATTTAAATATTAAAGCTTTGTATTTTGAAATAACTTGATCAGGATATGGATTATCCTAGAATCGACTATTAATTTATAAACTTAAAAGTATTTAAAAATTTTACTAAAAAATTAAACTCGATTTCAATTTCAATACTTACAAACTTTAAATGAAAATTTGAACTCGATAACTGAATACATTTTAGGAAAAAATTTATCAATAAGTCTTATTTTTCCTTCTAAAGAACTATTAAATTCTATCACGTTTAACTTAGGACAATTAAAATCTACTTTTGATAATTTATTCCCAAGATATCCTATACTCCATTAATAGAACGTTTTCTTATAATTTTATCCTTCTCATTAACACACTAATTATATTTTTGTCAATAATATTTGTTATTGGATCCAAAGCAAATTATTTTTTTAATTACTGAATAACACCCAAAACACGTAATTAAAAATAAAGACTTATAAAAATGATAAATCATACAACTCTATTTTTTCTTGTATTTAAATTTTTTAAGCATATATAATTCGATTCACTCGACTATCAAATCTCATAAAAATATACAATTACATAAATTAATAATATAAAAACTAATCTATGAATACATTCATTATGAAAATTTTATCTAATTGTGCTTATTTTTATTTCTCCTTCCAAGTTTGAATTAATTAGAAAAAAATCATTGTTTTAAGGCAAAAATTCAAGCGTTCAAAGCTATAACGTTTTATTTAAGAGATAAAATAAAAAATATTTATTTATGTAATAACTTTTATACTATATAACATCCACTCACATATAAACTCTTACATGTTAATAAGGTGGATGCTTTGATAACTAAATTTATGCCTATTGGATTTTAATTTAAGATAAAAAAAAATTACATTTCAATAAATAAATTAAATAAAATTATAAACAAAAATATAATTTGTGCTTTCATGAAAATGACAAAATTTCAACAAAACAAATCATTAATGGAGTTTAAGATTTCTTAGGAATAAATTATCAAACATAGGATTTCATTATTCCAAAATAAAAATAATAAAACTTAATAATACTTTGGATAAAAAAACAGAATTTATTGGTGTTTTTCCCTAGAATTTAAAACTCTCGTTTCTAAGGCTACTAATTGAGTCAAACTTTACAATTNTTATTATTCCAAAATAAAAATAATAAAACTTAATAATACTTTGGATAAAAAAACAGAATTTATTGGTGTTTTTTCCTAGAATTTAAAACTCTCGTTTCTAAGGCTACTAATTGAGTCAAACTTTACAATTTTGAGTTGAACTTGTCGATAAGCTAATTTTAAATAACTCGATTATTTTATATGTAAATGAATCAAATTTTATGAATTCGAATGAAACTTTTTTTAGACACATTTTTTTAAATAAGTTTGAAAAATTGTAGAAACTCGCCCTAGTCACTTTGGAGTTACCTAACAATCCTTTTTGTTTTTTTTTTTAAGGAAACTGGACCAAACAGTCCTCTACATACGGTCTGCTTCGATCTNTAGTCACTTTGGAGTTACCTAACAATCCTTTTTGTTTTTTTTTAAGGAAACTGGACCAAACAGTCCTCTACATACGGTCTGCTTCGATCTAAGCGCATGCATTGTATTACGACTCCTCTCTCTCACATACACACACTCGCTCTGGCAGGGTCAGCACGAAAGGTCAAAGACAAAGGCTGAATGAAGTGAAGAGAAGTGATAAGAATGGAGGGATCTTCGTATCGGCATCAAAGGTTAAAGAGTGGTGTTTCTCAGGAACCATGGATTAGATGATTTCATGCTTGGGTGAATCATGGTTGGTGAACTATTTTGTGATCCGCCTGTGTTCTGATCTTTCAATGGTTAGATTTGGGGTTCGTTACGCAATATTAGGGCTTATCTTGATAATTTTGACATGCTCAATCCAAACATTATGTATTATTTTCTTAGGTTTTTTGGCTTGTTTATATATTGAATTTCAGAACTTTTTCTTCCCTCTCTGTGAAATGTAGGTGGAATGTCATGATTTCGTTCGCTTCCTGGCAAAACCCTTTGTTTGTAACTCAATCCTTCACATTTTAGAATTTAGTTAAGTAGATTTATTTCTGGATTTCTTTTGTAGTTTTGGGGTTTTCCCTTTTATTCTCTATGCTGTGTTCGGCGGAATGGAACTGAGCTTTTGACATCAGAATTAAGAAAATTATACTTAAAGGTTCGAATTAACTCCCTCAATTCCGTTTTAAGTCTGAATCACACACTCCCAAAAGCAGCGTCAATGTTCCTAAGGTTTCAGCTTGATTGTAATTTGTGACGGTGGGTTGAATTTCATAATGCAATTAGCATCCTTTTTTGACAACCCCATGAAAAAACTTTGTGTTGTTGCTTGTGTCATTTGGTATTGCTTCCCTGCATTTAGAACTTTCTTGGTATAGACTTGTTTGCTGTAAATTTTGTGGAAGTCCTTTGTTTTGAGATTTTATCTATATTGATGCTTCCAAATGTGGTTCAATTTATTCATAACTGCAGGTCTACTTTCATTATGCAGTTAGTATCCTGACAACCCCACTTTGTTAAGAAGCTTCACAATTGTTGTTGATGCCGTATTTTAATTACTTTTCTGTGTAGTAGTAGAACTTGGTTCAGCTTCTGACTTGCTTCGTGCATTATTCCACCATTGGTCTAGAGATGGCCACAAAGAGGATTATAGCTATATGTATGTCTGGAGGTGAGTTCGCGACAGACAATGATGGTGGGCTGTTGTCATACAAAGGTGGGGATGCCTATGCGATGGACCTTGATCAGGATACAAAGTTAAAGGATCTGAAGGAGGAACTAGCTGAAACATTCAATTGTAGTGTCAATAGAATGTTAATCAAGTACTTTCTTCCTGGAAAGTCAAATAAAAGGACTCTTATTACGATATCAAAGGATAAGGACCTCAAGCGCTTGGTGAACATTTTTGAGGATAAAGACCAAGTGGAGTTCTTTGTCATGGAAGAGGAAGCTGTTCAGGTGCAAAAGGTGTTGAAAGCACCTGCCAGTAGGTACTTATTATTCTTTGGTCCACCTTAAGGGTAAATTTTTTCAGTAAGACATATGTTACTCTATGTGCATAACTTCAGGATTCAGTTTTGTTCACAATTGCAGAGACATCCCAGTGCTTGTGGTTGTTTATACTTTTCATTTGCCTAAAATGAAGCTCATGGAATTTACACAGCATAATGCCCCTTGTTCATTGTTGTGCTCCACGACATAACTGATTTTTGGCATCATGTGCATGAAGCAGCATGAAATATACCTGTCCATTAGTTTGAACCTTATGACACTCAATCACGCAGGTCAAAAAAGAAAACTGTGTCAAAAGAAATGGTTCTGGCACCTGCATCAGAAGTGGCTCCGACAATTGTGTCAGAAGATGTTGTTCCGTTAACTGTGTCAGAAGATGTTGTTCCGTTAACTGTGTCAGAAGATGTTGTTCCGTTAACTGTGTCAGAAGAAGTGGTTCTTCAAGTTGCCCCTGTTGATGTAACTTACACCAATGAACCCATGGATATGGATGCACCCAGTGAAACCACAACTGGTGGTGGTCTTGTTGTTCATGATGACCAGCCTCGTAAAGCTGCAATGGAGTGGGCGAACACCATCACAGGTGTGGGACAAAGATTTCGGAGTTTTAAAGAATTTGTTGATGCCCTGCGCAAGTACTCAATGGCCCATGGATTTTCTTATGTATATAAGAAAAAGGACAGTCATCGTGTAACTGTCATATGCAGATCAGAAGGTTGTCCATGGCGCATAAATGCATCAAGGTTGGCCACCACCCAGTTAATCTTTATTAAGAAAATGAGTGCATCACATAAATGTGAAGGAACGGCCATCAAAGCCAGTTATCGGGCAACAAGGGAATGGGTAGAAACTATAATAAAGGACAAGTTGAAAGTCTTTCCAAATTACAAGCCGAGGGATATTGCAACTGACATCGAACGGGAGTATGGCATTCAACTGAGTTATGCTCGGGCACGGCGCGCAAAGGAGAGCGTTAGGGAACAGATTCAAGGTTCTTACAAAGAGGCATACAATCAGCTACCCTTATTCTGTGAGAGGATAATGGAGACTAATCCTGGCAGTGTTGCTACATTCGCTACAAAGGAGGACTCAAGCTTCCGTGGTCTCTTTGTCTCGTTTCATGCCTCAATATCTGGCTTCCAACAAGGTTGCCGTCCTCTCCTTTTCCTCAATAGCACTCCTATAAATTCCAAATATCAAGGGATGTTATTGGCGGCAACCGCGGCAGATGGGGATGATGGTGTTTTTCCAGTAGCTTTTGCTGTGGTAGATGTGGAGACTGATGACAACTGGCACTGGTTTCTGTCAGAACTGAAATCTGCGGTGTCAACATCTCGACCAATAACGTTTGTGGCAGATTTTCAGAAGGGGTTGAGAGAGTCATTGCGTGCTATATTTGCGGACAACTGCTACCATGGTTATTGTCTACACTACCTTACTGAGAAATTTAATAAAGATTTAAAGGGGCAGCTTTCATACGAAGCCCGGCATCTCTTGGTTCAAGATTTATATGCTGCTGCTAATGCATCGAAACTTGATGCTTTTGAACAAATTACTGCAAATATAAAATCCATCTCACCCGACGCTTATAATTGGATAATAAGAAGTGAGCCTGGTCAATGGGCCAATGTGTTTCTTGGAGGGGCAAGGTATGATCATATGACATCTGACTTTGGGCGAGCATTCTATTGTTGGGTATCAGAGGCAAATAATGTGCCAATAACNTTAAATCCATCTCACCCGAAGCTTATAATTGGATAATACGAAGTGAGCCTGGTCAATGGGCCAATGTGTTTCTTGGAGGGGCAAGGTATGATCATATGACATCCGACTTTGGGCGAGCATTCTATTGTTGGGTATCAGAGGCAAATAATGTGCCAATAACTCAGCTGGTGGATATAATACGAGGTAAGATGATGGAATTGATATTTAAGCGACGGGTTGATTCCATTCAGTGGGTAACTAGGCTAACACCATCTATGGAGGAAAAGCTGCAGAGTGAGACTTCAAAAACACGCCCACTTCAAGTTTTAGCTCCCCATGGTAGCATATATAAAGTTCGTGGTGAATCTGTTGAGGAAGTTGACATTAATCTTTGGGACTGTAGCTGCAAAGTGTGGCAGCTGACAGGACTGCCTTGCTGCCATGCTATTGCTGTTTTTGAATGCATTGGTAGGAGCGCATACGACTATTCTGCCAGATACTTCACAGCTGAGTGTTACCGAATAACTTATGCAGAGTCAATTAACCCAGTTCCAAATTTTGACAGACCACAGTGTGAACTGGCTTCGGCAGCCATTACTGTGACTCCCCCATCCACCAAGCGTCCACCAGGCCGTCCAAAGATGAATCAGGCTGGATTAGAAGAGATGGTCAGACGCCAAGTCCAATGTAGCAAGTGCAAGGCCTTTGGCCACACTAAGAGGGCATGCAAGTAAGTGAGCTAGATGTACTTTCAAGCTGTATGACTCTTGACATCCTTGTTTGACAGTTTAGGCCTGTGTGCTTGATTAGTACAGTTAGTCTTTTGTTTATTGTAGATCACTTCCTACCATTGATCTTTGCATTGTCATTGCATTTTTTTGATGGTGAGTTAGGTTTCCTTGTATAATTAATAATGTTAACTAATAGTTGAAGAAATAGGGAGCTCACTGCATAAATCATTGGCAAAAAGCTGTGAAAATATTTGATATTTGTTGGTCGTCTTTGAGGCAATCCTAAGTTGTCGAGTTATCATCGCCGAATCAGCCAATACGGTTCCATGACCCCGTAATATGGTCTAAATCTCTTGTCATGTCATAGTGTCGCCTAATATCGTGTCGTGACCGATATGGTTCAGAGCCCTCGAGTTAATGTCGGATATTGCGACCTTGACCCATGTTTCTTATGTATGATTCTAGTCCAACAAGAAGATTAAACCTTCTGCCAATAGTGATGAGTGTTAACTGTTACTTGATAGTTATGCTTACCAAACCTAATTCGAGCAATCAGTTATCTGTTAATCTATATCTCCATAAATAATATATCTGCTTGCCCATTCGAATTGCACTATGTTTGAGTACGTGATATGATGATATCGTATATGAATATATGTGTATGTAGTCCTTTATACTAATCCTACACCTCTACGTGGCTCATGGCATCCGCACCAAATTCTTTGGCTGTCCACTCTTCAATTTCTTTCTCTTCTTTTTTCGGTTCTCAGTACTTTTACCTGTTGATAAGTTAAAAGGAAAGAAGTAGGGTAACACATATCGGATATAAGTTAAGGAAGAATCGACTTAAGTAGTTTGGACATATTTATAGACAGTTTACTATGGCACTAGTGAGAAATAGTGATATTGAAGATAAACGTAGGAGTAGATAAAGACTAAAATTAATTTTAAATGAAATAGTAAAAAATGATTTGGTAACTTATGGTTTAACTGAAAATATTGTCCTTAATAGAGCTCAATGATGAAACGTGATTCATGAAGTCGAGTTGAGAATGTTTTTGAACACAGTGACAAAACATGATTCATCTAGCCGACCTTTTATTCAAAATTAATCCCCTAATTTGGACACGGTAACGTTTTTTCTTTGAAATTGTTGATGGATTTGAATGGAGGAACTTAATTGAAACAAGACAAAGTTTAGGGACTTAATTGTGTCAAGTGATAGTTTAGGGACCCAATAAAAATCAGATTTAAGTTTTAAAGTATGAAATATATTTTAGAATAATGTTATTTAAACTTAAAAAATTGATTTAATTTATTGAACTAATGTTGTGACAGTGACGTGACCTAATAGTGTTGTTGTGACTGTGGCAATGATACGTTATTATATTAACAAATTAGATCAATTTTTTAGATTCCAATGGCATTAGTCTTATATTTTATACAATATATCTGAAGTTGTTGCAGCAACCAGCAACTTCAGTAAGTTGGCTACTATGCGACTAAGTAACAGAGCAACTTGATCTCCATAGGATGGGTAAATATTGTGTGTAACGGTGACATCACGTCATTAATGTCATGTGATATTACTAATGAATTATAAAACAATAAGTAGGATTAGTAAATCTTACTATTCCAACATGTCATTTATTCGATACAATAAGGTGGTTANGCGTAACGGTGACATCACGTCATTAATGTCATGTGATATTACTAATCAATTATAAAACAACAAGTAGGATTAGTAAATCTTACTATTCCAACATGTCATTTATTCGATACAATAAGGTGGTTATTGGTAGTTATTAAAATGGGTCTTTTGGAAGCGGGTACATCAAATTAGACATAATTGTAAAAAAGAACACAAAAAAAATATTTTGGAAAAAAGTACACAATTGAGATACAAAGACACAAATGCCTATTTTATAAAATTTTCTTTTCCAAAAATTGTAGCAAGACATTTATCTTAATCGCTGAAATTTAGAGTTATTTAATTCGAAATCTCTAATACACCTTGATTTATGCGTATTTTTTTTTTGAAAGTGATTTGTTTTCAAACTATATTCATGCATTAAATATCTCNTAATACACCTTGATTTATGCGTATTTTTTTTTTGAAAGTGATTTGTTTTCAAACTATATTCATGCATTAAATATCTCCTAATTTATTGGAGAATTTTAATATTTCGTTTATTTTAAGATATATCACTTGATATATAAAATTATTTACATTGTAACAAAAACGCAACAAATTCATTAAACAATAGTGTAACAATACACTGTAACAAAAACAATGTTAAGTGATTTTGTGCATGTGGTAACAAATTCAAAACAGAGATGGACTGTTTTTAATGAAAATATATGTTTGACAAAATGTAAAAGTACAATATTTTGTGTAAATGTCTTGTTACACTGTTATTATTATACTGTTATGAAATTTGGATATTAATATAATTTGAAAATAAAACCACTTTTCAAAAAAAATACGTATGAACTCAGGTCCATTAAATATAATTTGAAAACAAAACCACTTTTCAAAAAAAAAAAAAAATAGGCATGAATTAAGGGAGAACATAAAGAAACGGAATATTAAAGTTCTCCTATAAAACTAGGAGGTGTTTAATGCATCATTTTCTAAAAAGAAAAAAATACGCATAAATTAAGGGAGGATATAAAGGTCAGAAGAAAATATTGAAATTTCAAATAATGCACTTGAAAATAAATAAGTATCAAATTTAAGAACTTTTTATCCTACATTTTTTTATCTGTATTTTTTTACAATTAACTCTAATTTGGTATACCTCTTTTAATTTTCTCTATTAAAATAGTAGAGCCCACTAAATCCACTTGATATTCTATCATTGATTAGTGACATCATTTAACATTGATAGCGTGGTGTCACCGTTACATTCAATATTTTCTCCCATGAGAGGTAGGCCCTTCAACATGAAATTACTTTTCTAACCCTGACTTATAAGTGATTCCTCCACTAATCAAAATGAAAAATTAAAAATTTTCAAGTGCGCCTCTACTATGGTAGGTTTAAGCATATAGTAACAATATTCGGGCAACTGGCTGGAAGGTATGCATGTGCTTATGCAAATCAACTATTCTTTTAGGGTAAATTATACTTACACCCTTTGCACTATCACCCTTTTTCCACTTTGCCCTCTCAACCATAAGATTTCTTATATTGAACCCTCAACTATGTGATTAGTTTCACATTGTTCTAATTATTAATTAACATAAAGTTATTTGATTTTGCCCCCCCAAATATATAGTTCTTTTTCATTTTACTCCAAAACGTCAACAATTTCTGTCCAAAAAAATAACAAAAATTTGTGATTGGGGCATTGCGAAATAAAAGTGTTAGTTAGGGTACAATGTAAAAAATTTGATAGTTTAGGGGATAAAGTGAAAAAAGAGTGATAGTTTAGGAAGTGTAAGTGTAATTTACCCATTCTTTTACCATTTTTTTTCCATTAAATTTTTTATCAAAATATTATATTTTGAATTTTTTTTTTCGGTAAGTAAACTTATTTACACAATTATTGTTGTTTTTATGAAGTCATGTTTCGAAAATACATTTTTACACTGAAGACGTGTTTCTTAAACAAAATTTCAATGTAAGAAACATTGAAAGACAACTTTAATTTAAAAGCGTGTTTTCGAAACATGACTTCATAAAAACTATGCTACTCTAATAAATAAATTTGAAATTATAGTAAGTTAACAAAAAAAGTTACAAAAAAAGATAGACTGCTAACAAACTCGCCCTCTTTTGTACTATGTCTACTTTGAAGCATCTTACTTTTTTCCTTTCTCTCATTGCTTTAGTTGTTCGTATGCTCTTAGTCATCATAAAATAAAGTATATAATAAAATAATTTATTTAAATCTTAGTATACTTGATAAAAATAAAAATAAAAAAAAAATAAAAAAAAAAAGAAAAAGAATCTGAGTGTACAATTTATAATTTTATATATTTATATGCATACAATTATGCTACATGCGATTGAACTCAGAAGAAAGAGAATAAGTTCGAAAAAGTACAA